CACTTAAAAAAAAGAAAAAGAAGTGAGAGATTTTCAATCTATCACCAGGGAGCTTGTTTTTTATAGTTAGGGAGTTTGTGTCCCTTTCCAAAAATAGGAAAAAAAAAAAGAATTGGAAGAAAATTTAGAAAAAAAAACTGGAGTATAAATAGAAGAAAATATTTTCTTTTTTAATAAAGGATCACCAAATTTATTGTGGTCGGGGACCATATTAAAAAATTATTATCGTCACAAATGATGAATAGTATTTAATTTGTCATGTTACAAAAATAATTAATAGCTTTGATGCAAAGAAGAGATTGGTGGGCACTTTAAAATAAATAAAAGAAAGTGAGATTTTCAATGTATCAATGGGAATGATGAATAGTATTTCTGTAATATGACAAACTAAAAACCCTGAAACTTAATAATGTAAAAATATAATAAAGTTTGATAGTATATTATAATAAGATATAAGACCTAACTATCAATTATTTAGTAACAACTATTCCAATTATTTGATTGTATAATAAGGATATATTATTCTAACTATTTTTTTTTTTTACTTTATTTATCATTTTTCAATATCATTAAATCAAAATCTTGAGAGGGAAAAGAAATAACAAATATTAGTTGAGACTATGATCTTATAGTATTGAAAAATAATAAATAAGATAGACATAAAAAAAATAAGTAGAACAATTTATCCCGAATGACAAATGTTTTAAATCATCAAAATGTCCCCTTTTATCACCAACCGATATGGATTAAATCACTCGTATCACAAACCGAACACACATCGCCCCAACAAAATTTTCATGAAAAAGTCTTTGACAAAAATCAACACCATCCCACCTACCATCTCAAGACCTTGGGATTTTTTGAATGAGAAAGCACTCATAAGGCTTTGATTTTATGAAACCCCCAAATAAATTAAAATATTTCAGAAGGAAGAAAAAAAAAGGGTCTAACTTCAAGGGGTGACATGCCTAGTCAGCGGAATGTACCTATTAAGGATAGGATTATGGAAAAGAACGAGAATAAATTTTAATCATGTAAAAAAAAATTATTTTTATTCTTTTATATGTTAGTTGCTTAGATTAAATATATTCACTTGTATTTGTACGTTTATATATAGACAATTTTCCAATAATGAAATTATGATTTTATAGAATTTTTATTATAGTATGAGAGCGGTTTCATTCTTCATGATCTTTTTATTATTTTTCCATTACTGAGTTTTCCAAAGTTGGGAGCTCTTTATCACCTTTTTCGAACTTCTCATTTGTTTTCAAGTGACCCTTTCTATTTTATTTTTCAACAAAGCTCATTTGTTGTATATGTTATTGTCTACTTTATAAGCCTCTAAATGTTGTTCTAGATTAAGACAGAGGAGGAGTTTAATTTACATTTTGGTTGTGTATTTTTGCTTACCATGACATTTTTGCGGATGGTTATTCTAGTCAAGGACATTTCTGCCGATGGTTATTCTACATTTTTGTTGATGTTATATTAACAAAGTCCTTTCTTTTTTGGTCAAGCAAAATTTCCACCAACTCTTCGAATAAATCTTAGGTGTATCTGTTGCACCTAGATTCAGTACATCTCACCAATAGAAGCATTACACATCAGAGGAGAGAGAAAGAATTTGGCAGAGAAAAGATAATTTTAACTGATATGTACGGCCTTGTTTGGTGCATAGTATTGGATAAGCCTGATAGTATAAGACTTGATAGTATAAGCCCTGATTGTATAATACCTGATTAAATTTTAATACTATCCAGCGTTTGACATGATATTGTATAAAATAACATATTGTATAAGATAATATCATCTAGTATTTGGTAATGCATTGTATAATACTATATAGGATAAAAATAAATATTTTTAATAAAAATATCTTTTAATAAAGAATTTATATAATTCTTCAAAAAATATCATATGATATTAATTTTTATAAAAGTCTATTGATCAGTATGTTCAAAAAATAAATTAATTTTTATAAAATTAAAAATATTCAATATTTTAAAATTTTAAAATTTAATATATTGAAAAATTAATTTTTATTTTAATATATTAATATTAAAATAATATATTAATTTTTTAGAATTGCACTAGTCAACAATATTAATACACTAATTCCTTGTCAGGCCTAAACCCCCTTAGGCCGGATTAAGTTATACATCATTTTGATGTATTAAGGGATTCTGCTGTATAAGCTTATAGTATACGACAGTCACACCAAACAACTGAAAATGTCATAACATATAGTATAAGCTTATACTATCAGGTCTTATACGTCACACCAAACAGGCTCGTAATATTTCTATTAGTGGAATGCACTAAATTTTGACTCTTCACGTGGATGGTCAACCCCAACTATTTTGCGCAGTTATCTTTTCAGTAACATTTATCTCTTTAGCATCCCCCAGTTATCTTTCTAGCAATGTTTTTTGGGTATTTTATTTTTAGAAAAAACAGTGTGCAAGAAATTATTTGATTTTTCTAGTTTGTAAGTTGAGTATTTATTATCTCTATGCTCCAACTTGAATAGGAATATTAGGGATAAGAATAAAGATAATATTTGAATCATGTAAATAACTTTTGTTTCTATCCTTTTATCAATTAGTTGCTTAGATTAGATGCATTCATCTATATTTATATATTTACATACAGATGCCTTTAATTTCATTTGAAATTGACTTTGATTCCATAGAATTTCCAATGTACCTAAGGATGGAGTTTGGGGTTCGATTCTTGAAAAGACTCTTTGGATTTGAGGCGAAATCTGAGCACATTAAGCCTATGGGGGATCAAGCTTGCCCCATATTTGGTTTAATATTCACTCTGTTTCAATAAGAGGTCAGCTCTAAAACCATACTCTAAGAATAATGTGGCTAGTTTAATGGGTTTTATAAGAGTTATGTTGTAGGAAAAATGATTGTGTAATGTTATAGAGATTCGTTTTGCGTGTCTTAATTTTTTATTTATTTTTTTTGTTTTAAAAATTGTGGGCCCCACAAAATGTTGTGAGTGTAGGAAAGTTTATTGTGTTATGTTAAAGGATAAAATGAAAACCCTAGTTTAATATACCATGTGTTCTGATAAGAAGGTTGCACCACAAGAATTGAATGGGGATACCTATTTTGATATATATATTTTAAATAAGAGTCATGTATTTAATGGCAAAAACTACTGTCTATATTTGCAAAATAATACATTAGATAGCTAGATGAAGATGAATAAATTGAAATTAACCTTCAAAACAAAAATAATTAAGAAACAAAAGTAAACAATGAAATTCAGAAAAGGGTCACCTCAGAATAAATGAAGTTAAATGGAGAGGAACAACCCCATGCATCAATATGAGGCATCAAAAACACTAATGAAATCGAGTTTGTCATAAAGTTAGAAATCAATGGAAGGAGATGGTAAATGAAGAAAAGCGATTTTGCTAAGCACCGATGATGATGGTGATAAACGAGTACTTCATTCCTCTCTAACAGCCTGGCGATGGTCCAACAACATGTAGGGAGAAGAGAAAGACGATCATGCCAAAGAGGGAGGCTTCTAAATAAAAGATATGAAAATTGTGGAATAAACTTGGAATAAAAATCTTGCAAGGTGTAATAATGTTATGGACAGGGACTAGGACTATCAGGTTATAATAAGATTAGAAAAAAGTCTAACGTGATTTGACTATAATTCCAAGTGGATGAACTAAACACGTGATAATATTAACTTCTACTCTCTGTTCTTCCTTATATGATGCTGCACCAAAGTAGTACTATAGGTGGTAAAATGCGTTGGATATGATGGCGGGTTGATGTAACTCTTGACTTCTTGTGTCACTTTTCTTTTCATGATGATTTTAAACCATTATTTTTGTTTGATTTTGGACCAAGTTAGGAGGGTTAAACAAGTCAACTTTTAATTTTACTCATATTTAATTTTATGTGCGTTGATTGTTATCTCAACTTTTTTATTTTTTTTATTTTTAGATAGCTTGACCCATTAAGCCACCCTTAACCAATCCAAGTTGATCTTCTGAACTCGTTTTGTAAACAAGTTACCAACTCGATTTTGGGTAATATTGAATATATATATATATGGAAAATTGGGTATCCTTTTAAGAAATATAAAGAAACAAACTTGGGGAAAAGAGAGTAGAGAGAAAAATTTAAAATTTAAAATTCAAAAAAACACATTACATTCATCTAAAAGGACCTTCCTTTCAAATGACAAACAATAAACTCATATATATATATATATATATAGTCGCACTAAGATGCATTTTCTAAAAAATGAGTAAAATAACATTTTTAATATAAAATACTTCTAAAAATAAATAAATATTTATAATAATTAAGTTGATTTAAATTTGATCAGATTAAAAACAATTAAAATTCAATCCAAACCGATTAAAATTCAACTTAAATACCCAAGCCAAATCAATTTTTTTTTTTTTTTTTGTATTAAGTATGGTCTGCTTAGAAAAGGTGCATGGATATGTACAAAAAAAAATGCATGGATCATCCCAATTACGCGTGAAGCACTTTGGCTTTTGACGAGTAGAGATTAATCTTGGTTCTTAATCCTACTATACTTTTTCCCAAGCGATATTGATGAATAGAATAAAAGTTTGTCACAACCTGAAACCCTGGAGCGTGGTGTCACGGACAGGTATTGAAAGACTATAACTAGAAGTTGCAAAGTGTACTAAATGATGATAGCTCAGTTGACACATGGAAGGTAAGCAGATGGGGATGAGAGCATGTATTTTTATCTCTCCAATATCACTCTTTAAAGGATTTAAAGTTTTAATTCTGAACCCATCCCAAATTAAATTAGTTGCGAAAGTAATGAACCGATCGAAATATTACAAAAAAAAATAAATAAATTTGCACATTGTTGTGTTGTGTGCCTTTGCATTTTCTTATCCGTGTGAAACTAGTAACCCAAAAAGCGCGTGGTTTTCTTTGCATGAATATGCTCTACTGGCCTCATGTTTGCCACACAATAATCAAATCTTTCTCTCATCACAACAATCATCAATAAAACGGGTCACCCTCTCTTCTTTATCTTTTTTGTGTTTTTAAGCAAACTCTTCCCTGAATCTCATCTAACTTCACCGTCTTTGTGCCTATACTCTACCCAATTCCTTGCTTCTTGTAAGTTCTTTTTTTTTTTTTTTTTGTTCTTTAACACTTCATTTTTTCATTGTTTCTGTGTGTTAGTCTCTGGCTTCAATGTTTCTCAACACCCACATAAATTCCGGGTTGTCTTTGTTTTAATCCTGAAATTTTCTGTGTAATCTTTTGTTTTTTGGTCTTCCTCACTGGTATTTCAGATAAAGCTGGGATTTTTATTTGCTTCTTCTGAGCTGTTGCATTTTTTGGGGACCTGTGAATTGGATTAGTTACAGTTGGTATATCTGTTGGTGCAAATTGCAGCTTTTTTGGGTTCCCAAGTTAAAAACCTTGATGAGTCCTTGTTGGTGGTAAAGTTGCTGGCTTTTGATGAAGAGAGCAAGACCCAATATCTGTTATGTGTGAAATGCTTTTTATAAAATTGGATATTTTTAGAAGGGGAATTTTCTGTGTGTTGTATCCTATAAGCTTTTAATCATTCTGGAGGAGGAATCGGTGCTTATTCTCTTTATTGTGGATTGGGACTTGGGGTTTCCTTTTATTTGCAATAAAAATCTGTGAGGGAATCAGTTCAAGTGAATTTGGGATAAATACTTAACGTCTGAATTGAAAATTGGGTGTTACTATTTGGTGGGATGTTATTCCAATCCAATTGAGAACATAGCATTGCATATTAGAGAAGGTAACCTGTTCTAGTGTTTCTGAAGGGTTTTGGTGTCTCTTTAGATATTTAAAGATGCAGCGTGTTAGATTATCATCTCAACAGGCACCAGTACACAAGCTAGGAGATCCTCAAATCACATTATCTCCTAAGTTTAGGTTAGCTGTGATGCAATCTTCTTTGGCAAATCCATCACCAGAGCTAGAGTTATCTCTTAGAGGAGAACCCTTAATACCGGGCCTACCTGATGATGTTGCTCTCAATTGTCTTCTTCGTCTTCCGGTTCAGAGTCATTCATCCTGTAGAGCTGTCTGCAAGAGGTGGCATCTGCTACTTGGTAATAAAGAGAGGTTTTTTACCAATAGGAAGCAATTGGGTTTGAAAGACCCTTGGCTTTTTGTATTTGCCTACCATAAGTGCACTGGAAAGATCCAATGGCAGGTTCTTGACCTTACCCATTTTTCTTGGCATACTATCCCTGCAATGCCTTGTAAGGACAAGGTTTGTCCTCATGGTTTTAGGTGTGTTTCGATTCCGCGTGACGGCACTCTGTTTGTATGTGGCGGTATGGTCTCTGATGTGGATTGTCCTCTTGACTTGGTCTTGAAATATGAGATGCATAAAAATCGTTGGACTGTGATGAATCGAATGATCACTGCTAGGTCATTTTTTGCCAGTGGAGTGATTGATGGGATGATTTATGTAGCTGGGGGAAATAGTACTGATCTTTATGAGCTAGATTCTGCTGAAGTGTTGGATCCTCTCAATGGGAGTTGGTGCTCTATTGCCAGCATGGGAACAAATATGGCATCTTATGATGCTGCAGTTCTTAATGGGAAACTTCTGGTTACAGAAGGCTGGTTATGGCCTTTTTATGTCTCTCCAAGAGGTCAGGTCTACGATCCAAGAACTAATAACTGGGAAAATATGGCAGTTGGACTTAGAGAAGGGTGGACTGGTTCAAGTGTGGTTGTTTATGGGCACTTATTTGTTGTGTCTGAGCTCGAAAGAATGAAGCTAAAGGTTTATGACACGGAAACTGATTCCTGGGAAGCCATAGAGGGGGCCCCTTTGCCTGAGCAAATATGCAAGCCCTTTGCTGTTAATGCTTGTGATTGTGACATTTATGTTGTGGGTCGAAATCTTCAGGTTGCTGTTGGTCATATTTCTAAACTGAACCTGAAAGAAAGTTGTGAGGAAAAATGGAGCTTCAGAGTTCGATGGCATGTAATCGATGCACCAGAAAGTTTATCTGATCTGACTCCTTCAAGCTCTCAGGTGCTGTTTGCATAGTTTTTCATTATCCTGTAATATTATGAATGTTTTCTGAATAAATGTAATTAAATATAATTATTAGAGGTCTAAATGTTGTAATAGCGGTGTGAGGGAGTACTCTTAAGCAGTTTTTTATATTGTATTAATGATAGTATTTTATTGTGGTTGCTTGGGCAGTGTTAGTTATACATTCTTAATTACTTTGATATTTTCTCCTTGAAGAATATCTCTATGGGGCAATTCTATTGTCAGAAATTATAGTTATATTGTTTTCGAAGCCACGGTAAATGCAATTTATGAAAGGATAAAAGCAAGATCGTACTTGTAGTATGATTTATGTATAGGCCTTTTTCCTTGTCAACCCATTAATTGCTCTACTTAACTGTAAACTTGGATACCAAAGTGCTAGGTCCTGATTAGCATTCCACCATGCTAAACAACATGTGAGAGAACCCTTATGGATGGGATAGGTAGAGAGACTACCAGAATAAAATGTTGGAAGTGTTCGTTCGGCAATTTGCATGTCCATTGGTTTTACCTGTCTGTTTGTGGGATTCGTATATCAAAGGCTGGTAGATTGTGGGGTTATACTGTATGCAGCAACTGGTGTAATACTTATTGAGTTTCATATATTATTCTGATTCTATATTATTGTTCAAATAACATAAACATAGTTAACAATTTTCAGTTATGTTTTAAACATGTATGCATCACTTTGTCAAGTAAATTTTCTTATTTATTACAAGTTGCATTGTGCATAGGGATTTCCTCGTTTTATTTCTTGAGTTTTGAGTTGTTTCCATGTTGAGCCTCTATTCCAAAAGACATTAGACATGAAGGCTATTTTTACCACCACCTCGTTTCTCTTGATGGTAGTTGCTCTCAGTGAGAGATATGGCTCTTTGATTTAGGGGTTGGGTTTAATGGTCAAAGAGATTCGCTTAGATAATCAAAGTTGATACAGCTGGTGTGCAGTGGAAGAAGAGTGGAACCCCTCTAATTAATTGCATTGAGCAAGACAAGGCAAGTAGACTAAAGTGTGAATTTGGTGAGATGTTGATGAGGTCGTTAAATGCCACGAAGCGTTCTTTCAATGCATTTAAGGTATGTAACAAAAGAGGCTCTCATGTACACCATGTGATAGGATCTTAAATCATTTATAGACTAATCAAACGGTGATGAGAGAAAAAAATATTGGAATAAAGAGTGAAAAAAAGATGAAAAATATATATATATTTTTTTTATAACAATGAAAAATGTTTTTCCTTTTAAAGAAAAGTTATTTTAGTTGAAATTAGTGTTTTTTATTTAATATTTAAATTAAAGAAAAATCTCACTTTCTCCTATTATAATTTCTGTTTCTTTTATAACAAAATATAATAGTTTTGATTAAAATGATATAATTCTATGTCTTTTAAAACGATAAATATTAATCTCAAAAAGATAATTATTGATTTGTTCATAAATAATTAAGATCATGTGACGAGCTGGTCATGCTAAATAACAAAAATATGAGATGTTTGCTTGTCAGATTGATGTGTTGATAGGAGCAGTGGCTAAGGTGAATACTACAGTTTTTATAGTTTGGGGCGAATAATTAAAACAAAGGGTATGAAATTTCTCTTAAATGCATGTTGCGATCCTTGTTATGTAATTAGAATGATATGCTCCACGTGCTAAAAATTATCCATTACATGGAAGATATCTCTGCTCCAATTGGGTACCCGCATTGGTTTTGGTTGGTGATCGCAAATTATGAGGTGGTTTGGTGGTTGAAATTCAACTCACTTTCGGGTGAGGTAGGTTAGGAGTGATTGAATGTATTCTCCTTTCGTTAGTGTTTCGAGAAATGATTATTAGATATATATTCGTTTGATGGCAAATGACCAAGAACGGTGAAGCTATACATTATTTAGGATATTATTTGCTTGGTCTTACTCCTGAAAAGAGAGATTTTTTTCTTCTTCTTTTCTGCGAGAATTGATTAACCAGCATAATCAACTCGTAAGGGATTATTTCAGTTTAATTAATAATTTCAAATTTGAGTTTCCTCCGACACACCTATGTTAAAATTTGGTAGAGAGAATTTTGTTGCTTATATGATCGTGCTCGAATCAGGCTAGTCGAATAATCAATGAACTAAGAATTGATTAAATTTAATTTAATAAGGTTATAAACTAATCGAGTTATAATAATATAAGATATTATAAACATTTTTAAGTGATTAATTCCATAATAAATGTTTAATTCATTAAATAGAATTAGCCACTTAACAAATATTTCACAACTCATCTCAGTACCACACTATCCATTAAAAGAAATAATGGATTACAGAAGGCCCATAACCCTCAAAATACAAAACAAGGCCCAAGTATGTGGCCCATTCCTCGAAACCCACGACACAGTTCATGTACTTTACTTCATAGTTTCAGACATCATCATCAATTCATCATCATCATCATCAATTCATCGTCATCATCAGTATTAGTCATAACACAGAGACACGACGGCATGGCTGCGATCACGAGCGCAGTGATAGCAGTGGCAGCAGTGATTCTGGGTTGGATCACCATTGAGATCGCATGTAAACCTTGCCTTGAAAGGGGCCGCGAAGCCATCGATCGCAACCTCAATCCAGATTACGATCCCGATGACGACGCCGACGCCATTCGCGCCCCACTCAACCCCACCACCACCACCACTGTCTCCGAAAACTCCTCCACCGTCAAATGCTGATGACCCTTCTCATATCTCCGCCTGGTATTCGCTTTTTATACCCAAAGTTTTTTTTTTTTTTGGTCTGTGTTTGAGTGTGTATTCGCTTTTGACGGTTATTTCTATGAGACTGAAATATCAAATGTTGGATCTTAACTGTGATAATGTTTTCTGAGTAATTGAGTTTGGAGATTTGTAATTACGAAATGGGGATGTGGTGACACACACGCACAACACTAAACTGGTGTGTCCCTATGAAGATTTATGAGACCTGTGTTCTTGAGGAGATTGTCAGAGGTTAAAAAGAAAAGAAAAGAAAAAAAAGGAGATTTATCAAATCTTGTTTCAAGAAAAATTGATAAGAATTAAAAAAAAAGTTTTTGTCACGAGTTTTTAGCTTCTTTTTTTGTTATAAAAATAAGCTCTTTGCTTTTGAAAAAATCTGTTTTAATTATGAAAAGAAGAAAAACTAAAAAAGACAATATCCAAACAGGTACATAGTCTCGTCATAAGAGTGACTAGGAAATGGTTATAAAATTTGCAGTGTATGTTGATGGGAAGAATTGTGAGTTGTTGAAGTTTTGGGAATGAGTTGCCCTCTTAATTTTGTGTAGTTTAGTATTTTTTAGTTGCGATTCCCATTAAATTAGCAAAAATAAGAGCTCTAAAAGGATGGACAAAATGTGTCCCATTAATCCCCAGAAGAAGTTAGACTGAGGCAAAGCTGAGAGCTGTAACAAGCCTTATAGCCACCAATCATTGGGAATTGTATTTTACCTCAATGATTAAGCTGGTATTGTTTTATATTTTTGTTGATCGTTGTAAATATAATTGCATGCAATTGTTAAAAGGGGTTCTTTCAATTAATAAGAATTGAAATACTTTGGTTTCTAAAATTATTTAATTTCTATTGCCAGCCTCCTTTATTTTATTTTATTTGGTATAGAAGATGAGAAACAAGAAAAAAAAAAAAGCTATAACAAACAAAATGCCCATAAAATCAGCTTGAACCTAGAAGCAGCAAGGCTCAAACAAGTGTGAGAAACATCTTGGCTAGAAAAAATTTGCGCAACTGTTTGTTTTGCTGACTGTGTGTGCTTAACTGCCCTTAACATAGACTATTAGACCAAGATACAGGTGGAGTTCCCTAACCTTTCCATTGCTCATTGAATCTAATAATATGAAAGTACTGTCCCGTTTAAACCTTTTCTTTTTCTTTTTCTAAAACTCAAATTAGTTGTATGCACTTTTTTTTTTTCAGTTTAACAATGAGGGGAGGGGATGCTACCTATTATGATACTCACAGATTCTCAAGAATGTTTGACATTTGACATTTTTAGTTTAAATTTTTTGTCGCGTATCTTCGAATCTATAATAATCATGTAGGTGCAGCCGTGCAGCACTTTCTCTTTAAATTTTGTAGATCTGAAAAACAAATACATACAACGAATTTAAGTTTTAGGAAAAGAAGGTTTAGGCTCAGTATTTATATATAAAATTCTCTCTGCAATTTTTCTTGGATATTATTTTTCGAAGTAACTTTGTAATCTCAGTCAGTTTGGAGGGCAAATTTTCATGTTTGGTTATCAAAGTAAATTATTGTTAGACTTCGTAGGTCGAGAGTAGTTATCATTTCATAACTTCTAGTTAAAAACAATTTGTACTTACATTGATATTTCAAAATTATAAATGACTAATATTTTTAAATATAAAACCAAGTTTGTTAAAAATTTCTTTTATTATTAATTCTTTAAAGGAAAAATGAACCAAAAAGCTCACGCAATGCACAATAAAATAAAAAATAAAATCCAACCATCCGCCGGAGCACCGCAGAAAAACATCATACAATGTAAATAAAAAGGAAATGGATCTTCTCGTGTGTAATTTAACATGATCACATAATGTGAGAGGATCTTAACCATTAATAATTAAATCAACGGTGATAATTGTGTAACTTCCTATCCTTATATTTTTTTTCTCTCCTCTCTTATCATCATTAACTCACTCATATATGATTATGATTGCCTCACATGACATGATCATGTTAATTAGCACACGAGTCTCAAATAAAAACTAACTACTTTTGTGTTAAACGCATCCAAGGCAAATAAACTTCTCCCATTTTCATGTCAATTAAAGTAACCAAAAAAAAAAAAAAAAACAAAGGCGAGAGAAAAGAGTGAGACTGCTTTGTACACAGTAATAAATTCCAATGTAGAGAATCAGAGAGAGAGATCTTATTTACCAATAGCCTATTAGTATGTAAAAATATTTTTCGAAACAGAAAATGATATTTGAGAAATACAAATGCAAAGTTCGTAATTTTTTTTTTTTACTTTCTCAAGGTGTCTCAACTCCTTTGAGATTATTACTTAGTCGAGCACTTCATAAGCATGGCTGGATAATTAAAAATTATCTTAGAAGGGAAAAAATAATAGTCGAAAAGAAAACATCGGGTATAGTCATAAAAAAATATTTTCAATTTAGTTTTTATTATATTTTAACCTTTTTTAATTAATCTAGAAAATATGTACTGAATTAAAATATTTTTTGAAATTTCTGGGACAAGATTTCTCTGAACAGTAAACATGTAGAAGGAAATAAAAAAACTACCACCTTAGTTCTTGAGAAGAAAAAGAAGTTTCCTACCTCGTTGAATTACCAATTCATTTGAATTTCTCTATCATTTTTTGGAGCAATTTTGAATTTTCCAGAAAGTAAATAAAATTCAAGGGAAAAAATATGCTTTACAATTACAGTACAGTCGTCGATAAATGAAAGGGAGAAAAAGAAGAAGGCTCGTTGCTACTGTACACATATGACAAGGGATTAAACGTCAAGCTTCTCCCATGTCATTTCAACAAAAGAAACTTTTAAAATGTCAAATGAGGTAAAATATACTATGCCAGGTAATTGTATATTTGAGGATTGTTCTTGTCCCTCTCCAGATATTCCCTGTCAATCAAGCTTTCGATCCTTTTCTTCAAATCAGCTGGTTTTATTGGAAATTTGAGCTGTTCACAAAAAATCAATTCCTATAATCAGTATTAATCTTAACAATCAGATGGAGAACACTCTGCATCAGAAATGATCACTAGAATACAGCATAGCAAAACGTATTTTATAACATTATCAGTAGTAACAACTTATAGTAGCTTTTGCCTATAACCACACCACTATTTAAGTCTATAACACACCATCTAAAGACCAGGACGAAATCATTTTGACATGGAACTAGTTGGGAATTCAAACAGACTCCATTTGAATTAAAGAAACGAAACGTGGTAAATAATAATATCACCTGTTGGAAGAGTTCAGTAATAAGAAGGGTGTGACTAAGCACTTTCCTAGTCTTCATTATCCTCACAATAGCAGCGTCAACCTGCAATGAACCATGCCAACAAGGCAGATATGTTAAGGACTATAATCATTATTAGTTGTTTAGTACATAGACATTTAAACACCTATGTATCTTGGATACCTGGACATTCAGGATAATATTGATCGTGACATTGTGTTTAACAGGATGCTCAACAGAGGCATCTGCCCTTTGTTTGGTTGCACTCAACAATCTTAGATATCCGACTTTAGATATCTAAATTTTTTTTTTCTTCTACCAAAAAAATATATATAATTTTTTCCAATTTTGCGTACAAAACTAAAAATTAAATTACGTTTATATCAGAATTTATTTAACCATTAAATTTATGAAAACTTTCATGTCCCAAAAAAAAAAAAAAAAAAAAATTTAAAGACAAGGAAAAGAAACATTGCATCTCTAAACTTTTTTTTTTCTTAGGTAATACCAAAGAGAGTTAATGTGCATTCCAATGAGTAATTTGCAATACCCTCACGTGGTTAATGAGTCGAAAATAGAAAAAGATCAAAACACACTGCAAAAGTGTAATGCAATGCCCAATGGAGACTCAGCAGCATTACCCATTTTATTATGCTATTGAAATTTTGAGGATGTTGATATAATTTATAAATTGACAGATATTTTGTGAAATAAAACTAGTGAAACAAAACTAATGAGTGTAAAATTGATAATTCATACATAATAACCAATATGATGCCCTAGGTTCTTAAGGATTTGAAGGTGCATTACATTCCCTTGTACATTAGTCCTCTGAGTCTAAGCTAAACGGAGAGCTTTTGGAAAAAGAAAATTGACCTGATATTGTCGGTCTTGGAAAACTCTTTCGGTGGTGCTTGTGTTTTCCTCCACTGTCTCCTTCAACTGAATTGCGTTCACCTGCACTCCATAGCACCAAAATTAGCTTGAAAAAGCTCATTATCATAATTTTAGAGGACTAAAACCCACAAGTATTAATCATTGCCAAAGGGCTAAACTATGGTGATCGCAATTAAAACACAAATGAAAGTTTGAGATTCACTTAATCTGATCCCTTATGTTCCTAAGCAATAGGTATGGTACCTTTATACGGTAAAGAGGAGCTGTAAACCCTTCATTAAAAACAAATGAGTCATCCTCCTCCACATCTCTACCCTTTGGAAACTGTTACATGTTCAACAAAGGGAATCAAAATTAGGAAATTGAAAGTAATATAGTTACAAACAAATTTCATAAACTGGTAATTCTGCAAATGATTACAAACACACCTTTAGTAGGGCACGAACTTTTCCACATGCAAGTGATTGCAGAGTCCTTCTCAGTTCCTTGTCCTCAATACCAGTGGAGTCCTTGATATCTTGAAAGCTTAGTTTCTCAGCATCATTGAATAGCATTAGAACAACAGTCTGGAGCACAACCAGACATGCAGAATTAATCCCACAAAAATGTGTGCAATACAAGATAGACAGCCACACAAATAAAGAGATAACATAAAATAATGGTTTTTGAAAGGCCAACCTGGAATAGGGATACAGCCAACTCCTTTTTCCCTTTAGGAAACTCTGCCTTTAAGACACAGTGACCTAATGAATTTTGCCACATCAGACGCCTTCCACTGTATTTACTTAGATAGAACTCTTTGAAAATATCCTAAAAGAAGAATTAAGGAAAGGAAAGGACCATGTCAGGGAAGCACTCAGAGTATCAAGGACAGCAACAGTTAAAAAGAACATTCATTCATGTCTTGTGCTAAACCTGGTAAACGTTCAATTCATGAGGAAGTCTAACATCCATGGGTGGATATGTTGGCCAGTACCTGCACTCATCCAACAATTCAAATTAGATTCCCAGGAAAAAAAAAGTGCATAAAAATTATCAATGGTAACAGACAAGGATGGGAAAACACAAAGCTTACCCGGTTGTCAAGACATGAACACTCATTTCAATCCCTGATGGGAGTTTTGTCCTCGCCTGGGAAGACTGTTTGAAGGACTCATTTATTTCTTTTGATAATTCAATGTCCTGAATCAAAACAATATTTAACATAGTTGTAAAAACTAGGAATGAAAGTTATAGTAATTCAAGAAGTTTGTCACATCATTGTTATTCATAAAGTAGATATACAAAACTATAAAACTCAAGCACATGAAGTGATAGGTCATTCAATATGTCAGTAACATAAATCTTAATTGATGGGAGCCAAACCAATATATAATTGCAGCGTATTATTAGTTTATTACTATGCAATAGACTTTAACACACATGTAGAAATATACACTGGAAGAGTAATTTTCTCAAAATTTTTTAAAGCAGTCAAATATTGTTTATCGCCTTTTCAAATTAGAACTGCAATAAATTTATGAAGCACTAACTTATATGGCAGAAAAGGAATTTATAATTCAAAATCCAAGATCAACCTCACTATCGAATCTTAAATTTGACCAAAGGCCATAAAGAGAACTTCTCACCAGGTTCAAATTCCCAGTGAGTTTTTGCAAGCCAAAGAAAAGACATAGGAAAAAATTGAGGTTGGCATAGATGATTTCCATCCAGTACATGCCAACCAGGAGTCCACAATTTGAATAAAATTTCTAAAGTTATACATATTCAAAGATGTATACCTTGAACATGCCTTCCAGTTTGTTTGTGAACTGGCTGCCACACTCAGTCTTCAACTGTATCAATTAAAGAAAACTGTTAATATTCCTAAAATTTTGGTGCCGAACCATCTAATTATTTCAGAAGTTAAATGGAAAAGAAAAGCCTTAACCTTGGAGATCATAGATTTCTCTGCATCAATAGAAGCGCTCTTTCCTAACAGCAGTCTTTTTGCAAGATCTTTCTTATAGAATGCCTCAAACACATCCTTGCCCTTTAACAACAAAATGTCAAGTAATCTTGCCAGTATCAGTATGGAAGAGAAAGATCCGTAAAAGTGTGTTATAACACCACAAGCTTAAATGAAAATTGCAGAAAACAAGGTGTAACTGTTAGCTACTACACCAATGAAACACTGAGCATACCTGAATGAACCTAAATAAAACCAGGACTTTGTCAAGTGTACCCTCCAACTCCTCTTCTGAAGTACCCTTATTACCAGCACGAAGCTTCTCATCCAAAAACTTGGCAATCAACTCTGCCGGTCGGTTCTGCCACAGAAAAAAAATAGTATAACACAGTTGATTGGAAATCACATGCATAATAAATCCCACATAAGTGTTAAAAATAAAGACTTAAGCTGCCAAAAAGCACATGTTAGCTATTTCACAAGCCCTATGATGGATAAAATGTAGTATGATCAACCAATAACTGTCACAAATAGTTAATAACAAGAATCAGAATGGCCAACATGGAACTTTGATGTTTAAACCACTTGGTATAAGAGACTAATGCTATGTCAAAAACCATTCAACCTAAGAGCTAACCAGTGAGATCATAAACAAATGACGTATTTTAATTTTTTTAGTATTAGATATATATAGCATTAAAGGAATTGATAAAGCAAAAATGATTGTCTAGTGATCTTACATGGTTACAAAATCATTCTGTGTAGGGATGTTTTGCTTTAAGCCATTAATTCTACAGTTATGAATATTTTATGAAATAATAATTTAAGACTTTTATTTAATAAAATAATGTGAAGACATGTTTTATTCAATGTGTGTTCCTTAACTTCTTACGGTTGTTTCCTCAGACAAATGGTACACTTGCAAAGACAATTAAAAATCTTCATTGCTGGTCCTCCTGCTAACATCCCACTCCCCCTGGCACTGTACCCTGGGCCCAATTTTTTTGGGCTCCCTTTGGCCACTTCATACTTTTCTTCGAGGTCCATTCACGAGTCACTCTTTGGTCTCTGTCATGGCAGTGCACTGATATTTTCCAAACTCACAGACCTAACACAGCTCTTTATCATGATATGTTTTATAGAAGATTCAGTTCAGAAACTGTAGCCCATTTATTTTTCAATGTAAGGGAGCTATATTGTGGTAGAACCTGTTTGGGATTCTAGGCAATCAGTGGGTATGTTCGCTCCCCTTGAGTAATTTCTTACGATAAACTTGAAAGGCTTTGGCAGGAAAAAGGAGGCCATGCTTCTATAGCTCAAGCAGTTTATGGCAATTCTCTGCTGCATTTGACTGGAGATAAATGACAAATATTCAAGGATGTCTTTTCCCTTACATTTGCCATGGTATAGGGATCATAGGATTGTATTTCTGGCTTCTCTCTCGTGCTTGCCTCATGGCTTTTCAAAGGAATTTCTATAACGATGCACAAAGAAATAGGAAAGCCTTATATTTTCAAGAGATATTTTGGCTCTTTTTTTCTTTTTTTGGAGGATTTCTCATCCTCCTCAATGGCTCTACTTTTCCTAATATTTTCTTTAGTTGGATTTCTCCTCCTCCCAGATGCACATGCTCTCATTTCTATTAATGTATTCTTTTATTAAAAAAATGTATTACCATGACTGCTACACTGCCATAACATTTGAAAAACCTGGAAAGAAATTCCATGGCATCTAAAGGACATTAGCTTTATGGATCTTTGCGCCAATGGTATTTATCATTACCAGATTCCAGTTTTATGATGAGGCTATAGAAGGCGTACTTAAGATAACTACAGGGTAAAATTGTTGGCCTTCCTTCTTGTTGAAAATATATAAAACCATTAATGTAGCCTCACCCATTAGCTTAAGCTTTTGGGTTGAATTGGTTCTTTACATGGTATCAGAGCTTCAGTGACCACAAGGTCACGAGTTCGATCATCATCACCCCCCCACTTTCAGGTGGAATTAAGAAAAGCACAAGGCAGACCAATAATGGATTTGTGTCATATCCACGCTTCAAGTCCAAAGAGCTCTTGCGTGAGGGAGTGTGTTAGAGAATAATATAAAATATTAAAAAAACCATCACCTGACACCTTAAGGTTTTGGGTTGAAATGGTTCTTTACATAGTATCAGAGCCTCGTGTCCCAGTTCGATCCTCACCGTCTCCCACTTTCTTTCTAGTGGAATTTCTTTGTTTGCACAGGTAGGTGGGCCTGTGCATTGTCCACCCTTCAAGCCCAGTGGGCTCTCGTGTGAGGGGGCGTGTTGAGATATATAAAACCATTAATGTAACCTCACCCAACAGCTTAAGCTTTTGGGTTTAATCGATTCTTTACATGGTATCAGAGTCTCGTGTCCCGAGTTCGATCCTCAGTGCCCCTCACTTTCTCTTGTGGAATTTCTTAGCACAGGTAGGTAGGCTTGTGCATTGTCCACCCTTCAAGCCCAGTGGACTCTCGTGTGAGGGGGCGTGTTGAAAATATATAAAACCATTAATGTAGCCTCACCCATCAGCTTAAGCTTTTGGGTTGAATTAGTTCTTTACACTTCTAAAGCTTCTACCTCACATGTTTCCACCATTCAACCATTCAGGTCAGAGCAAAGTTACAAACTTGGAAGTTGCAACAAGAATTAATATAATAACTTTAGTTTTGAATAATTTTAAGTACCAGGAAAATCAAGCAAACTCAAATATCTTCTACAGCCATTACGTTTTTACAAATTAGGACTGCTGGTCACTACACGGAATCACATAGCAATTACAGGTTCTTTTTGCGATTAATGTCAGGTAGAGGATCAGTAGGAAAAATGAAGAATATATTCATGCAAAGATGAATAAACCAACATTGCTAATCATATAGGTGGTATTGGTGATCAACATAAAAGACTTCTCAAGAGAAAGAAATGTTATTTGAAAAGTTAATACAAACTTAGAATTTAACAAAAAATTTCAAATCATTATTCATTCTTTTTACTCCCTGCAATAAACTTCTTTGCTCCTTATTAGCAGCACTATGATAATCAGAATTGCATGATGAACCACAATTTGTTCATACAATTCAATGCAGTTCATCAACTGATATACATTGCATTAACGCATGGAATATCGCTCTTGTGCCAGAAATGCAAGCTGCTTTGCTGAAATCATGCAGGGATTGCTTCAATTAATACAATTCTCACACTACCAGCCATTTTGCATGGTGTCTCTCCCTTTTTCTGGTTGTTCCATTTTCAAATCCCTGGCTTTTCCAACCATAGACAGCCATCACTGCCTCTGTTTGTGTCCTCCCAGTAGCTGTTTGGCCTTGTCCTTTTCCAGTTATTGTGTTTTTTTTTTTGGCAAGGTTTTGTCTTCATTCTTCACTTGATTTCATTTGTTCAACAAGTCAACCTCTATGGGTCTGTCTTGGTTTCATTTTTCATGGGTGTATCTTTTGGGTTTCTGAACATCCATCTTCAACATCTCAACTTGCATCTTCCTTTTTATTATATGACTTGGATCTTAATTTATTTTGAAGTTTAATTTCAATTTGTTAACTACATTAGAAGTTATTTGACTTCAAAATGCTAATATCTTAGATGTTTGTAATGTTTTCATTATGTGAAAAATATAGTTTGTTTTTCTAGTAATACATCATGATTCGTGATTTTTTTGATTAAAGATTCAAAATAGGCCTTCCGATTCATGCTTTGAATACCATGAGCAGTACCACCAGTCTACATACTAACATGGGTAAATAACATACTTTTGAGTAGAAGGGTGATTTGGCACTTAGTTCATTGATTTATCACTAAGGCAATGGTAATCAGGAACTTAAGGTGAAAGGAAAGGCTGCCACAAACAAGAAAGTAATGAGCTGACCCAAAACTTATTAGCTGGAGCTTTTTATCTTAGGATATTTCTAAAATTTCAGGGTGGAAACTAACCAACAAAAATATATGGAAATTACAACAGAAAAAGGGGAAGTACCTGACGAAGATTGATAAGATGCTCAAATGCATCTTTAATGGTGTTACAGAAAGTGTCATTCTTGGAAAAGCTTTCTTCCCATATTGTGTCAAGAGAAGCCTTAAATTCCAGAAGGGATGAAACCATATCTTTATCTTTCTCTTCATCCATAATAACGCTCTGCCCAGTTCTCCTGATGTATGAACTAAGGGCATGCCTCAGTGACTCGAGGGCATTGACCCTTGGAAAGAGCGAGTACATTCTCTGAAGGTCTTCGATACGATTGCCATCCATAAGCATAGAGAAACCCTGTAACACAAGAAATAAAATTGAAGCAATGGGGAAAAATTCAAAGAAAAGAAATCATCAGAGAAAAATCCAGAAACTGGTGATGATCAGAACCTTATCAAGAATGGCAGGTATATGACGTTCAAGAAGTTGTTTTTCTGTCGTTGCTATCAATGGCTTCCTAGTACTTGCATCCAAGTAGATCACACATCTTTCATGTTCCTCGTGCAATCTTGTCTGCAAAAATGAGTACCCAAAAATATCCCTACAGTAAGCATACCAAGAGGGACATGGGAAGATTGATACAAAGAAATATGACTTCTGTGATCATAATGTCAGATAAAATTCTGACATGGCATGATATGATCCATTTAGTAAAGGATTACCAAAAATAACTAAAGCTAAGAAGATAAAACAAGGGGATAAGGAAAAGGAAGCACCTCCACATGCTTCAAGTAATCTGGAACATCTGATTGCTGCATATATTTCACACCTTCAGCAGCATAAAATTCAGATGTGCATTCAAGGAATGGCTTCTCAAAGCTTTCTCCATAAATTCCCAGAGCAGTAAACATCTTCAAAAGATGGTTTAGAAGAGTTCTATCCACTGCTTCACCTAATCTGAAAAGCAAGCCATAAAAGTGGAAAATGTAAGGTACAGCACAAGTTGAAAAATCTGATGGCCTTATTCATAGATCAGCCAGCTAAGTTTTCTATATTAATAGAGAGAATTTAATCCCAAAATCACAAATCAAAAGAAGTATCTAGAAACCTAGCATGGAGGTGTCACCCATTGAAATGGACTTATATTGGGTCAATTTAGTCTAGCCCCTAACCTTGCACACATCCTTAAATTGAGACCACTCAAGCCAATATTGTTCGCTTATTTATCCTTTGTACCTTAACCATTAACAATGGCTACAATTTTACTACTTTAAAACTACAAGCATCTATTGATCCTTGACAGAACATGCTCACCCATCAATTTTATAATTCACTCAGACCAGGCAAGGTTCAAATACTGAGAACAAAACTAACCACATGAAGTTAGATAAAGTACAACTACTTTTTTATATGTATGCACTTTTCCTAACACTTGGACTTACTAGGATGTAATCCAGAGCTAAGTGAGAAAATTAAATGCAACAAGAAAATGAAGCCTTATATTTTATGTAATGGATGTAGAAGATGTTAATAAAAACCAACTTGTTGTGTACTATTCTCCACATCCAAAAGCTGCAAAAGATTGAAAAAAGGAAATAAATAACACTTGAGTTCCCCAACATATTCTGATAAGATGCTCAGTTGAAGTGATTACATAGATCAATACAAAATTGTTGGTCAGCAAAAAAACTTCTGAAGTGATAAACCAATATCTGCAGACTAATTAACACAAAATTCCTAAGCCCCAAAAAAAATTTATTTCCTATAAAACAGGAGCTACAAACCAAGAAAATAAAACTATAAAAGATACAAAATGAAACATTGCAAGGAGAAAGTTGCAACGATATATTTTCTGTGTAATAAAATGAAAAAAATAACCTTACAGTTTATACGGGAGTTACAGGAAAGTTGCAACAGTGGTGGTGAGTTGGGTGGACACAGCAGTAGATGACTAATAGCAGATTATAGGAGCGGAGAAATAATTTAAAAAAAGAAAAAACTACGAACAAGACCATCCATAACAATAAGAATCCCATACTAACCCCTCCAGACCTCTCCATCATGTGCAAGTGATTATCCCTCACTTTTGGGAATAAAAAGCAGAAAGAGTGGCCATCCTAGGTCATTTTGCTAACCTAACAACTAAAAGGCCACTCCCTGGAACTGTATGCAGATTCGAATAGTCATTCCAGCAAACAAAACATGCCCGATTAATGTTTTTCCCCATTAGTCAAATGCAAAAATCTTGGAATTATATCATCCAATCTCAGTTCAACACATCTTATAGTTCTAAACAAAAAGATGGAGAAATATAAAGGAAGGAGGAACGTGTTTAGCCCTGACCTTGAATAGATATCAAATCGATAATCTTAGATTGGAGAATGATATTATCATGATCATTGATATCACTATTGGCAAGGATATTCTGCATACATGCATTTCATTAAATACGGAAATAAATTTTGAAAAGGAATGGGGCAGCAACATAAAATCCTACGATGAAAGGAAGGAGAAGAGCGAAGAAATACACCCCACCACCACCATCCATGCAAATGGAACATTTAAACAATGACTTGCACATATAGAAAGGACTACCCCTCATTTATAAAAATAAGATTGCAAAAAATGGATTTACCTTTCACTTTCAATCATTCGTAGAAGACCAGTAACAGTTTTGTGTTCTACTTCAGAAGATAATGAAAGATGTTTGCGGAAAAGTTGTAAGCCCATGTCCCATAATGACCGTACATTTGTTGCTTGCTTCACATATGTCCTATCCAGATACAAGGCTATACCACGAATCATCAACATTTGGTCACAAAGATCCTGCCAACATCTCTCAACTAAAGATAGAAAAACAACCAAATCTGGGCTTTGGCCAACCAAAGACTGCAGTGCTGCAGATATGTGTTCTTCACACTCCTTTTCAATCCGTTGATAAAGATTTCCACCCATTTTATAAAGGCAAAGATCACTCACAGCCTATGGATATTATGAGTTCGCCATGAAACACTAATAAGCTAATGCTCGACAAATATTCAACAACCTAAATCAACCATGTCACCAAGATAATAATACTAATTAGAAAATTCCCATGATTACCTGATAAAGTTTCTCCAAGTCACAAGAATCAGGTTGCTTCAAAAATATAGCACACATAGCAGACTTTAGTTTTGCCCATGTATCCTCCTCAAAATTTATGGGCAAAGTTGGTTTACCTTCATTAGAAAAATAGGAAATCATGAAAAAGAAATTTAGAGATCATCCTATTCATAAGCCAAATATTTGATATTATTTATAGTATTGCTGTGTCAATGGATTTCGAAAAAAAATGAAACTAGAAATTAGAAATACATTCCAAATAAGGAAAACAAACTTGCAGTGTTTCCATGTTTTAGAGGCACATTCAACATGATCATAAGACAGACATGAGATACTTAAAGGTTCAGGCATAGAATCTAGATGGAAATGACTAATAGTATAAGAGCTTAACTGTAGCCCAACCTACAATGACCATTTTGGAAATGTTAAATGCCAACAACAAATAGGCCCATAATCCCAAGGGCAACATATCAGAAGAAGATGAACAATGGATAACAGAGTTAGAGAGAAGAGAGGGAGAAAGAGAAGAACAGAGAAGGAGCCATTGAATTCACTGTATTCTAATTATGAAACTAATACAAGAGAGAGCTCTATTTATAGAGCAGTAAATGGACTCAGAGCTGAGTCAGCAGGTAACTAACAACTAAGCGAACTAACAGACTACAAAACAGAAAAATACAAGTAGCTATCTAAAACAAACAGAAGTATAGTAACATTAAGCTAAAACTGACAAGCTAAATGAGCTATATCACTAATAATGGATATCAACAACAGATTGCATGAACCAGATTATCATTATTTCTCATAACAAAGCTTTTCACGATCACAAGGTTCAGAAGACTCATTCAGTAGCATCTACGGAATATATATGAAATAGAATTTGACAGGGAAAATATAGAACATATATAATCTTCCATTAAGAACTGTTTTTTTTTGCCCCACTTGGGGTATGAAATTGAATCATGGGAGGAAGAACTCTCACTTATCAGTTATTACCAAATGAGTGACCACGAGGCCAAAGTAAGTGTTGAGTTCTTATATCATATATTATGATTCAAGAAACATAATAATTGGCACTCTATAACTAAGGATAATAAACTATAACTAAGAAAAAGCAACCTGTACACGATATAGAATACATGCAAGCAATGCCTTATTTTTTTTCCCACCCTCAAGAACATATGTTGCTTTTGGCTTAGCCAGTTGTTTCTTGCAGCGATGCATTAAAGAAACTGAGCTCATTGAGATTGTAGTTTACTTCACAAGAATCTTGTGAAGCAGTTCAAGAACAAATCACAGACTAACAGAGTTTGAACAACAACTAACGGATTAAAAAAGAAGCAAAATTGAAGTCATCCCATCTCAGATAAGCGAATATTAAAACTCAGTAAAGAAAAGCTAAGCAATAATTGAGAAATTGAGGGGGGTGGGAAACACTATTAGTGAATCCATCTCGAACCCCAAAAAAAAAAAAACCCTCAAAAGAATTGAAATGTTTTTTGTGTGTGTGTGGAAGAGAGAGGAATAGGGTAAGAAGAAGAAGAATCGGACCTTTGTGGAGCTTGATTTGGAACTTCTTAGCGGGTTGAGGAGGGGTGGCTTTCTTGCGGGACAAATTGGCGGTGCGAGCATTGGGTAGGTCGGACTTGAGATCGTCGTCGAGGGCCATGGAAGAAGGGTCTAAAACTGCGTCGTCGTCGTCGTCGTGGTGGTGGCGATGGTGGAGTGACTTGGCCTTTTTCATAGGGGGTTGTGACGGAGCTGCAGGTAGAGACATCAAATAGAAAGTGATCAACACACCATTGTGTTTGTGTTGTTGTTGTTGTAAGTGAAAACCAATAACACACCCAAGCCAAGCTTGGACAAGCCTGCGCATTAATCACATCAACGCTCACACTTAGCTTAGTTCCTCTTTTCCTCGGTCTCATTTTTTATTTCTCTTTTTTCTTAAAATTATAAGTGTAATTAAATATGATTTTATAAAAAAAATAATTATTATAAAAGAATTATTTTTATAATAAATAAAAAAAAGCCAAAAGTGTTTCAGAGCATCGATAATTTATTTATCCTAAAATATATCGGTAGATTCTGCGTAAATTTCTAAAATTTAAAGATCTACCTATATATCGTAGAATAAATAAATTATCGATGTACTGAAGTTCAATGCATCAGTTGCACTTAGGGGTGGAAATGGGTTGGGCTGGGCTTTGGTCTTCCTGCCCCAAGCCTACGTAAAAAAAAATTCAACCTCTCTGGTCTACTGACCTATTAAAGGCTTTATTTGTAGGCCAAGTCCGGCCTATTTTCAAAAATAAGAAAACCCGACATGGCCTACAGGTCTTGTAGGCCTACTACAGTAAATACTAAGCAAAGAAAATAATTGTATAGAGCAAAGAAAGTTTCATTCATGCATGCACTAGTACTTCTCATAAGAAAAAAATAACAAACAAGAAAGAATCAACATAATACCTCAGTTCTAGAATGTATATCCATAGAGAAAGAGAGTTAAAGAAATGGGGAAAATAAAAAAAAATATAATTATTAGGTGCTGAAATAAAGTCTACAAGAGAATGCCATTCATCTAAAAATTAAGGTTGGTATTGGTACTTTGTCATGCCACATAAAATAAATATTATTTTATTTTTAATAAATTAAATAGGCCAGCCTACAAGGCTTTGGGCTAGACTTGGTAAAATTGGCCTACGACCTATTTGTTTAAAAGGCTTTCTTAAAAGGCTAAGCCTACTCTACTTTTCTGAAAGGCCGGGTTGTAGGCCAGCCCGGCCCATTTACACCCTAGTTGCACTAAAGTTTTGTTCGTCACGATGGAGCTTTCTTTTTTAAGATGTGTATCAATTTTTCAGAATCCTAATATTTAATTTATGGATAATATTTTTCTTATGCTGTTAAATTTACCTCATGCTATAAATTTTTTGAAATTTGAGTCATCAATTTTTATTTTATAATGTGAAACCCACTTGAAAATGTATCTGCAGGAATATCCCTTGATTTATAGTTTTGCCTTTTATTCTAAATGTGTATTTACAAATTTTATCATTTACCTTGATAACAAGTCATTTCATCTCCGCTTCAAAACCTTGTGAACGCTGGCGGTGTTCCTTCGTAAAGGAAGATTTTGCAAACTAAGTTAGTCTCCTTTCTTTCGCATAGGGTAAGGTTCAATTTTATTTTGAAAAAGTGCAATATGTGCTACACTTTGGTGCGTATTTGGTTGGAGTATAGTTTTATCTTTAGCAAGGTTTCTTTCGCCCAAGAACTAATTTTAGATTAGGTGTTTGTTTTCTACTTGTTTAAATCATGTGGTCATTTTAAAGTGATTTTCCTAACAAATATGTTACGGGGATTTATCACTTTTTTTATGTGGTAGAAAATTTATTGATTTCTTGCTATTTAGAAGAGAAAATGAATTAAGAAAAAAATTCTTTCCGTACTTTTACAACTGGCCAATGAAACTAATGATCTCATTTTTTGACCCACCATTCATGCTCGTCTTTCATTATATTTTTTGTATTTTGCAGTTTTAGATATTAAATCAAGATTTTAATATTCAAGTATTCTTGGAGAAACACTCTTGGGGAGACGATATAACCTCATGCAAACTACTTAAATCCCTTACTTCTAAATTAATTTAGTTGCTTTGTTTGTATAAGATAGATATGTCTTATAAAATGAATGGTTACGGGCTTATTAATTCGATTTTCTATATGACTGTTTCAACTTGCTAAGTTTGGTCAAGGAAGTTAATTTTGACCTCCTAAATTAAATAATGTTTTGTAAGCTAGAAAAAATCAAGTTTAATTTTTTGTTCTGTAAGACAGGAAAAACCATGTACGATGTAACACACTATTAACATTTGTATTTCATGAGATTTTGATTTTGATATTTGATTTTGAGTCAATATGTGTAATACTTTTTCTTTTCATTTAATATTTTGCAAATTCCATCAAGTAATCCTCTTATTAATTGGCTCAAAATTCAAAAACCGGTAATCTAAGAGATGCATTTTCTAAGCCACCACCTCAGCCTGATTGTGATCCTTCTTGTTCGATTTAGAATATAGAATTTATACTTTCCTTTTTTTTTTTTTTTTTTTATATGTAAGGCTGCATAGTTATCCTCACAATCTTTAATGGTGGGATTAACTTTTATTAGGTAAAATCTAGTTTGATCTTTGCCACACATAATGTGGTTATATTATATTCGAATAAGATTGGAGGTGATTTTACAAGTTTGAATCATATTTTACTGTCTTTCTTTTTTTCTTTTTCTTTTTTGCAATAGTTTACTGTCTTTCTTTTGGTTGAAGATGTGCAAACATTTTTTCTACTTGGACACCCTTGAAGAAGTAGGTTGGAACTTGGAATGTCACTAATGATCCGACCCAGTGGGCCAATATGGATCTGAATAAGGTAATGGGCCACTTCTATTACTAGGTCCTTTAAGCAATTACCAACTTGTATTTTAGGTTCATATTGGAGGACACTTTATTCGGCAAAATGGCATTCCCTTTTATCTCGCTTGCACACTTCTATGTCGTTTAGGCAAACAATCACCAACGTGTATTTTTCATACAAGCTTGTGATTTGCCTAACCAGTTAACTTTTTGGAAGCCCGACATTTGACAATAATTTCGGCTCGGCCCGCTTTGTGTAAAATGCACAAATAAAAGGCATTCGCTGGCAGGTTAGAATTATAATACAATAGTACTTTAAAGTAGGGGTGTGCAAAAAAACTGGTTTACTTGCCCTGCCCTTGATCCGACCTTGACCCGACCCATAAATGTCCATATTTTTTGAACTGGTTTAAATACTGACCCACTTTTATTTGGGTCAGTTTTAGACCTGACTCATTTTAATATTGACCCACTGACCCAAAACTTGACCCATACCCATTATATGAAAAAAAAATCGCAATTACATTTAAAGAAAAGTTTTAACGTAAAACAATTACGTCAAAATTTTTTATGGAAAATATTTTCATAAAAATTTTCGCAAAATTTTTGGACGAAAAATATTTTCATCAAAATTTGTGACTAAAAACATATCGGTAAATAAATTTGGCGGAATATTTTTTTTGTCAAATTTTTTTACAGAATCTAAATTTCGTCAAAATATTTCACAAAAAAAAAGTATTCATAAAAACTTTCGACGAAACACATTTTCTTCGAAATTCTTTGACGGGAAAAAATTTCATCAAAATTCTTTACAGATTTCAAATTTCGGCGAAAGTTTTCAACGGAAACATTTTCATTAAACTTTTTGACAAAAAAAAATTTCGTCGAAATTTTTAGCGAAACACATTTCTATCAAAAATTTTCGACTAAATATTTTCGTCAAGTTTTTTGATAAAGAATATATCCATCAAAATTTTCAACGGAACACATTTCTGTAAAAAAATTCGTAAAATTTTTTGACAAAAATATTTCGATAAGAAATTTTGACAGAAAAAATATTTTGTCTAAATTCTTTAGAGAATCTAAATTTCGTCGAAAGTTTCAAATGAAACATTTTCCTCAAAACAATTTCCATTGAAAATTTCGACGAAACACATTTCCATCAAAAAATTTCGACGGCAAAAAATTTCATTAGAATTCTTTACAAATTACAAATTTCGGCTAAAGTTTTCGACGAAAATATTTTCGTCATCAAAAAATTTTGTCGGCAAAAAATTTCGACGGCAAAAAATTTCATCAAATTTTTTTACAGATTTCAAATTTCGGCGAAAGTTTTCGACGGAAACATTTTCGTCATCAAAAAATTTTGATGGCAAAAAATATCGACGGCAAAAATTTCATCAAAATTCTTTGCAGATTTCAAATTTCGGCGAAAGTTTTCGACGAAAATATTTTCGTCATCAAAAAATTTTGACGGCAAAAAATTTCATCAAAAATCTTTACAGATTTCAAATTTTGGCGAAAGTTTTCGACGGAAACATTTTCGTCATCAAAAAATTTTGATGGCCAAAAAATTCATCAAAATTCTTTACAGATTTCAAATTTTGGCGAAAGTTTCCGACGAAAAAATTTTCGTCAAATTTTTTGACAAAAAAATTTTTCGTCGAAATTTTTAGCGAAACACATTTCCATCGAAAATTTTCAACTAAATATTTTCGTGAAGTTTGTTGATAAAAAATTTCCATCAAAATTTTCAACGAAACACATTACTCCTAGTACACGTTCCTCGACGCTGAGGGCATCCCTGAAGGGCGGGGGATTTCGTGACATTTCGCACATCTAACTAATGTGAGACTATATATCTCAACACGCCCCCTCACGCAAGAGCCCTTTGGGCTAGAAGCGTGGATTATGCACAGGCCCAATTTTTGGTTTACCTCTTGTGCTTTTTGTTTTTAATTCCACTTTAAAGTGGGGGACGGTGAGGCTCTGATACCATGTTAAGAACCTTGAGGTCACCACCCTAAAAGCTAGTTCAAAGGGTGGGAATGCCCAAGGCCTTATAAAGGCCACATTAGTTGCACATCTAACCAATGTGGGACTATACATATTAAGGAATTTAAGTTTTTGAATTGATTGTTCACATGAATGGTAGATATTTTTTATTTGTGCTTTTAAACGATAAATTCACAAGAGTTTCGAGCTTGAATGCCGAAGTAACAAACTTTAAGATGCCAACATTCATCGTGCCTAAAAAGAACATGGGTTTAGGTAAATTTATAATCATGATCTGCTGTAGGAATATTCCACCAGAAACATGGAAGAAATCAAAGGCAAGATGATAATAATAATCTCAAACTGATGTGTCATAACTCTAGAAACATTATGAAGAAATCAAAAGCCAGATGACAATTAATCATCTTGAACCGTGTAGACCTTTTTTGTTTCAAAAATGTCACATGTGAAGAAAATGATAACTTAGGAGCTACGAGAAGTTGTACAAGCTCAAAATTAGCAAGTTAACATATTTTCAACAGATTTCTCAGCCAATCAACATTCCAATTCCTAGGTCAAGGGAGAAGTAAAAAGCTGAGATAGAACTCAGATTTATTATTATTTCTTACAGTATAATCGAATCATTTGTTATATCTTAACGTCAGCAAATAACTAGTAACTTTATGATAAGAAAATCAAAATATTTTTCTTAAATGTTATCCTTTACTTAAATAATCACGTCCCAATGTCAACGGATTTCTATTAAGAAAAACTATTTTAGGTACGTACGGATACGAAATATTCAATGTGAATGATATTTTCTTCCTTCTTCTTTTTTGCAAAAATGTCTTCTGCAACTTCTTTTGTCATCACAAAAATTATACAAAAATTATAGGAACGAGCTTCCAGATCATTTTCATTCATAATCAAACCCAATGATACACTCAGTTTTCATACACATGATTAGAATGTTAACGAAAGAACCAAATTTTCATGCCACGTGAGATCGAGAAACTATGCATGGACTTAAACCAATTTTAAGGTTTTTAGGTTAACCAATTTTAAAGGTTTTTAAGTTGTTGATTGAATCTCCTTTTCTCGATCTCCATATATAATAATCAACTTGACCATATTCCAAATTGCGTGCTATTTGACTTAGACAGTTCAAACTGACCGGTCTCCTTAGACTGCATCTGTCTCTGTCTCTCTCTGTCTCTCTCTCTCTCTCTCTCTCGTAAATGTCAACTTGCCCTTTTTTCCTTTTTCATTGTCAATTATAGCCCTACTTGCATTGCATTGGCCACGTCCTATTTAACACCCACCGTCACCAACATTTCTCAACACTCACACGGTACACTACAAATTGCTCAAATCTGAAGCCAACCCATCAAAGCAAAGAAAAAGCTTAATTCATTTTGAGTTTACAACTAGCTAGCTAGATCACATGACGAGTAAGGCTCCTAAGATAGTGCAAATTGAAACAAGGTACGTGGAGACTGATGCTATAAACTTCAGAGACGTTGTTCAGAGCCTCACGGGGAAGAACTCTTCAACTGCTTGGATAGGACGAAATGAAGGTTCAGATGTCAAAGGAGGAATTGATGCTGTCCCTGCCAAGCCGGAAAAAAGTGCTGCCTCTAATGGTACAAAGGAAACTCATTTATCTTCAATGCTAATGAATAACACGTCCTTTAAAGAGTTTGATAGATTGTGGTTTGAGTTCCCAAACATTGAGATGGAAGACATGCCCTGGTTATAGGACGAGCAAGATTTGCACAACATCGATCATTGCTCTTTTGGCCCTTTTTTTTTTTCAGCTTCATCCTTTACAATATTTTAGATTTTGCGATCATCCAAAAAAAAAAAATACAAAAATTAGATTTTGCATATACCGTATAATAATAATTGTTTGAGTTTTTAGAGTACTGTAATCTCTTTTCTCTCTCTTCCATGGTCGAAGTAAAGAAAAGTATAAGAGTAAATAGTTTTTTTATCCTCAACAAATTTTACTATTCTCGCTTTAGTCCCTAGCAAATAAAAAGGTTATTTGTGGTCTCTGAGAAATTCAAAATGGACCTTGAAATTGTGGTATCTCACAAATTTAAAAAAAACCCATATTAGTCCCTCAAAAGGACTAAAATAGGTCCACTTTAAATTTTTTAGAGACCACGAATAGCTTTTTTATTTGCTAGAGACTAAAACGAATATCATTAAATTAGCTGAGGACCGAAAAAAATATTTACTCAAATTATAATATTTAGTTTGTGAAGTTTCAATTACCACTTTTATTCGCTTACAAATTTCTCTATTTTGTGTTTTAATTAATTTCTACGAATTGGGGATATATTACAAAAATATATTAGTGTTTATGTAATTTTGTCGACAACATAATTAAGGGAACGTTAACTAGAGACAATTAAAATATTAGTAATATATTTTTTATTTTTTTAAAATTTTATTGTTTAATAATATTTATATAAAATTTAACGATGATAAAAAACGTATTTAAATAAATTATGTTAATTTTCAAATATCGGTTCAAATCCCAACAACTATAAAAATTTTGATTACCAAAAAAAAAAATTATGTTAATTTGTTGCCAAGGTTCCTGAAAATTTATTATTATGTAATGAGCATAAATAAATATATACTGTTTATTAATTATTTATGAAATTTTTTTTCTAAAAATATAACCTTCTCTGTCGTGCGTAATTTTAATTATGTCTTATCAGTAAGACATAGTTATAATGATAAAATTATTTTTTTCTCTTTCTGCCACATTAACTGATAATGTTTGATGAAAGATAAAAAAATAATAACTTTATTATTATAACTATGTCTTATCGATAAGATATAATTAAAATTGTTCGATACAAATAATTTATCTACAGTAACTATAGAAAAAATTAATCCATTATTTATTGATATAAATGTGGGAATTAATTTCTCTCGTATTGTAGAATATAATTTTATCTTTTATACACATATAATAAAAGTATGTGAAATGTGAAGAGAAAAAAAAATAAAAAAATATAAATTTATTATACTTTTATATATGTATAAAAAATAAAATTATTTTATAAGATACATAAAAATATGAGAGATAATCTGATGCATGAAAAATTGTGCGACTGTTATTTGATTGATTTGTTTTTTTGGGGCCGGGGAGTAGTCATATGTCCTACCGGTGAAAAGGGCGACCTTGTATGAAAGTGGACATGATATGACTTAGTTTTTCCTTCGTGGTTCACTTTTAGCCTCACAGTTTATGCGTAATAGCCTCCTCGTACGACTGTGTGGACTGTGGAGGACGACCTAAGTCAATTGATATTATCAAGTATTAATTGGATTAACTTGGTATTTCATTTAAGATATTTACTTGATTTAAGTTTGATTTTAAAGATATTTTTTTATTGATAAGTGATTTATCATTTGGGTGAATTTGATGATTCGTTTTGGTCTTAAAATAATAACAGATTTTTTATTATAAACTTTACTTTAAAAAAATTATAGTTATAAATTATTTTTTATTTTATTTTTTAAAAAAGCCAAGAATATACTTATTAAGTTCTTTTTAAATTTTAGATCATGTATGGTAGCTATTGTTCCTGTATGAAATAACGTGGTTGATGTCCCGGATGGCTTAAACATGACCACAAAATTACCTGTTGTAACATTGTGAGTGTTGATGAAGGTGGGAAGTGATTATCGGTGCATAAGGGCATGGTGCGCAAAGGCACAGACAATAAGTGGCTTTTGGCAAGCTTCCAGCAGCGGAGTACATGAATGAATTGAATCAATACTTAAAAGAGAGAGATTTCAGAGACTGTGCTGGTACATGACAGTATAATTGAGGACTATGATGCACGGACACGGACACGAGACACGCAGAGACTGTGCTTGTATAGGACAGTATAATTGAGGACTATGATGCACGGACACAGACACGGACACGGACACTGGACACGGGACACGACACGACACTCCAACACGTTAATTCTAAAAAATGCTAAATTTCGACACGTTGGGACACGTTTTGATATTAAATAATATTTTTAAGATGCAAAAGTATATTTAAATATATATGAAGAGGGATATTCTCACTACCAAAATTTTTCACTACCAATTTACTACTTATCTAATCACCATTAGATTAATATTTTCTCTCTCTTCAATTTTTTTTTAACATTCTCTCTCTTTGATCCAATGGTGATGTGATGGGTACTAAGTTAGTAGTAAGAATTTTTGGTAGTTAGAATATCCTTACTCAATATATATATATATATATATATATATATGTATATATATATATTTATAATAACATATAAAAATTATATGTAATGAACTTAATTAAAATAAATAAATTATAATCAAATGATTTAACATTCAGTTCTTATTTTTATTTTAGATAAATTCATTCAGTTTTTATTTAGGAAATTTAATTATATAAATTTCTATTTTGCTAATGCGTGGTGAAGGGTGGGACGGTGAAAGAAGAGGAGAGGTTGAAGATGAGGGATGGTGCGGTGGAGATGGGTATGGGCTGTGGGTGACCGGCGGTTGGAGGTGGAATGGGTGGTGAAGGGTGGGACGGTGAAAGAAGAGGAGAGGTTGAAGATGAGGGATGGTGCGGTGGAGATGGGTATGGGGCTGTGGGTGACGGCGGTTGGAGGTGGAATGGGGCGGTGGTTCGGTCGATGAAGATGGGAGGAGGGTGATTTGGAAAAGAATGGGGCTGTGGTGTTGGGGCGGTGGTGAGGTTAATTTTTACAACAACAAAAAAATGTCAAAATGTGTCCACATACGTTGACCGCGTGTCCGATTTGGTCAAATTCGCGTGTCCCACTAGTCAACGTGTCCCAAAAAGTCAACCGCGTGTCGCAACGTGTCGGTGTCCGACACGCATTTTTTCTCAAAAATCATGTGTCCGTGTTTCAGAGATTGAGGATAGCTTATAAGAATTAATTTGTACTACTTATACTAATAAGATGCATATACTTTTCGATAGCCTGAAACAGAAGAACTCCATAGTTAAGCGTGCTTGACTTGCAGTAATTCTGGGATGGGTGACCTCCTAGGAGGTGTGCGAGTGAGGACAAAACACGTTGAAAAGTCTCGTGTTAGTGTATGGGGATAGTCATTGATGCTTGGAGTGACCAGGTGTTACACATGCCCGTGTACAGAGCATGGAGCAGATTTCAAGTTAAAAGTTTGGCTCAATGTTCTCATCTTGGACTTCAGGATCTCATACCTCAACATTTCAGTCCTCAAAATGACCTGTATCATATTGTCTTTCTTGGTTATTTTCACCATTTTCTTCATTTGTTTCTCCCCCTACTTCAACTCGAACTAGAGGGATGGGTTCTTCACTTCGGATAGCAACCCGGACTTTGAACTTCGAGATGTATTGAATTGTCTCATTCTCGTGAAAAATCACATCTAGTCTTCTCACTATTCTCTGTCTTAATTGGATCCCAAAGTCGGAACTCGAACTCACATCTCGGCGAACCGAGATAATGCATTTATTGTCTTTGTATCAAGCTTCGCCATTTCGTCTTTAGGAATATGTATGAAAGCTCGACATCTAAACACTTTCAGATGATCATAGGCCACTTTTTGCCCTGTCCAGACTTCTTCTAGAATTTCTCCTTCAAGTGGTTGTGATGGTGAGAGGTTTATTAAGTCAACAGCAATTCTGACGGCCTCATCCCAGAAAGATTTAGGCAATACGGCTTGTGATAACATCTTTCAGACCCCTTTCTTCAATAGTCATGTTCATCCTTTCTGCATCCATTCAGATGAGGTACCTTGGGCGGCGTTTTCTCAAGTTGGATCTCGGTCGCTCTGTAGTATGCATCAAAAGGGCTGCAATACTCATCACCATTCTCAAATCGGACCGCTTTTAGCTTCTTGTCAGTCTTGCTTTCCACCATAGCATGGAATTCTTTGAAGTCTTGGAGCACCTGGTTTTTAGATTTCAACAAATACACACACACTTTGTAGGAATGATCAAAGTGTGAATGATGATCAATAAAAGATACAAAGTACTGAGCTCCACTAAGTGATCTCTCTGACATGGAGCATACGTCTGTATGGACGAGGTCAGGAACGTAGCTGCGTCATCGGGGTTGATCCGGTCTCACAAACGAAACCCGGTGTTGTTTACCAGCTAGGTAATGTGTGTAACTCTCCATCACTTAGCCTTTCATCTTGGTCAACAATCCTTTCTTATTCAAAATCTAGAACTCCTTCTCGTTCATGTGGTCGAGACGTTTCTGCCACAACTTCATGCTGGGTCCATCTCAGACAAAGTTGGCTTCTCTACCATTAATCTTTCCTTGCATCACGTACATGGAGCCTTCCTTCGGGCTACTACCAAGTTTCCCTTGGCCAGTTTCCATTTACATCCTCCAAAGTAGTTCACTAATCCGACATCATCAAGTTTGCTTACCGAGATTACATTCAGACACATGTCTAGGACATGCCTTACTTCTTTTAAAACAAGTCGGCACCTAACATCCGTGGTCAGGGTTATATCTCTGACTTCAACAATCTTGCTCGTCATCTAATTTCCCATCTTCATTACTCTAAAATCACAACTTCTAAGAGGAGAAATAACATTTGTGTGGAGTAACGTGGAATGAGGTGCCAGATTTAAAAATCTAGGTGCAGTCACCATGTACAACATTCAAAAAATGATCTTCATCGAGTAGAAATATCTCGGCATCAGCATTGGCAACCACCACAATGGTGCTCTTGTCTTCTTTCTTCTTTGGAATAATTTGATTTGGTTTCATCGTGTCGTTCTTCTCATCCTTTTGTAGAGTC